TACCCCCCAATAGCTATAAACAGCCATATTATGGGGGTATTTGTGTATTTTGCTTATAGGGGTAGAAAAAATGACATAAATGCCCCCCAACAGCTATATAACAACTAGTTTAGGGGGGTTTTTGGGTAAAGTTATAAATAACTTTACAATGACCAAAATACCCCTCCCAACAACTAAATAACATCTAGTTTTTAGGGTATTTGGGCAATTGAATTATGTTCAATTCCTATAAATAGCCCTATCCTCCACCATTCTCATCATACCAATTCAACGATTCCCTTAATCTCTTCTCTCTCTCTCTCTCTCTCTCTCATACTCATACATTATCAATTCTCTACAATCTGAGTAATTCTGATTAGCTGATTGCCTGATTCTACATTCTCCAATTCTCATGTCTCAATTTTATTGAAGTTTCAACTTTCAACAAGAAGAAGGCTTGCTCAACTAGCTCAAGTATCTCAATTTGGGAGGCTTGGACGTTGAATTAACAATTCGGGTAAGTCAAATTAGATTAATTTTTATCTTTTTAGAATTAAAAAAATGGCCGGCTCTTTTGAAAACCGATTCCCCAACATGTTCACCATTGATGATATTCAATCGCATCATGATACTATTAGCACTGATGCGATTGATGTCGATGGAAGTGGAACTTTCACCCCGGTACTAGTACTAGTGGAAAAAGGAGGGCCTCTAAGTTGAGTAGCTTGGTTTGGAAAATTTTCAAAGTAGAGGATATCAAGGGGAAAGGGAAAATGGTCGTTTGTCAAAAATGTAGAAAGGACTTTAGTTATTGTAGCAAGGGTGGTATGGGTCATTTGAGCAAACATCTACTCACACATGAGAAAGAAGAAGATGAAGGGAGAGAAACAACCCAAACACAGATTGAGAGGGGGAGTAGTTTTAGTACTTTTAAATATTCACAAGAAAAAATGAACAAGAACTTGCTAAGTATATTGTACATGTAGAACAACCATTTATATTAGTTGAAGATCCAAAGCTAGAAAAATGGTTGTGTAGTTCTATAAACCCACAATATAAAAAAGATTCTAGGAATACTATAAGAGTAGATGCTTTAAAAATTTTTTATTCATATAAACAAAATTTAATCTTAATTCTAAAGTTGCAATTACTTCGAATGTTTGGACATCCAAATTTAATATTAGTTATATTTGTGTTATTGCCCATTTCATTGATGAAAATTGGCTTTTGAATAAAAGATTTTTAAGATTTACTAGACTTGAATGGCCACGTAGTGGCCCAACTATTGCTGCAAGTATTTTAAATACTTTGTATGCTTATGGAATAGAAAATAAAATAGTTTCTATTAGTTTTGATAATGCAAGCAATAATGATTCTGTAATAAATATTTTAAAATCTCAATTAAGACCATGCTTAAATGGTAAATTATTTCATATTAGATGTGCATGTCACATCTTAAATTTATGTATTCAAGATGCCTTGAATATTATTTCTACTCATATTTCAGAAATTGGAAATTGTATTATATATATAAAACGTTCAGGGGCAAGAAAACAAGAATTTAAATATTTATGTCAAAATTATGGTTTAAAATATAAACAATTTATATTAGATGTAAAGCATAGGTGGAATTCTACCTATGCTATGTTAGAAAGTTGTATATCTCATTCTTTCTGATTTTTATAATTCAAAAATGCCTAATGATATGATATTTGAGGAAGACTAGAAAATGACAGCTTGTATAAGAGATTTTTTAAAACATTTTTATGATGCAACTAATGAATTATCCGGAATTCATTATCCAACTAGTTGTAATTTACCTTATCAATTAATGGTAATTAGTGATTGTTTTGCAAAATATAGAAATAATCTACAATTTCAATGTATTGTTGAAATAATGGAAAATAAATTTAAAAAATATTTGAAGAACATTTCTCCCCTTTATTGTTTGCTACAATATTAGACCCTAGGATTAGGAAAGATGGTTTAGATATTTTACTTGAATCATATTGTGAAAATCTGAATATTGATATAGGAAATAAAAATGAAGAAATTAATAACTTATTATTTAAAATGTACATTTTGTATGAATTTGAAGTTGTAGGAAATAATACTACAACTTGTACATCATCTTCTTCTACTTCTGACCTTGAGCCTAGTAGTAGAAGAGAAAAACTTTTTCATTTAATAACTAGAAGGAAGAAATCTACTAATTTTACAACAAGTATATTTATTGAACTTAATTTATTTACAAGCAAAATTTTCTAATTTAGTTGAAGGATCAAATAATTTTGATATTTTAGCCTGGTGGAGTGAACATTCGAAAAAATTATCCAGTTCTCGCCACCATGGCATGTGATATACTAACCCCTCCGATGTCTATAGTTTCACCGGAGTCTTGTTTTAGTGCAAGTACCAGAGTGTTCAATGACAAAAGAAGCTACATGAACGATAAAAGGATAGAGATGCGCATATGCTTCAAGGATTGGCTAGATGCAGAAGATAGATTACAAGACAAATGAGGGCATGATACTACACCGGATATTTCACCCAAAGCAGATGATGAAAGTCATGAATTTGACTACATGTATAGAATTTTTTATTTTTTCAAATTATTGTAATTTTTTTAATTTTATTTAATTTATTTGATATATTTTTTTTAATTTTTTAACAATGTAATTTTGTATTTTCAATTTGTAACCATATTGCATTTTTTATATTTTATTAGTTTATTCCATTTTCATATTTCATTCATCCAATTATCCAATATCCAATCATTGTATTTGTAATTTGTACCATTCAATTTTAAATGAAATAAAATTCCTATTTTTCTTCCAATTTGTTATTCCATCATTATTATTTCAATTTGGTTAAGTATTTTTTTTTCATTTATGTGTTAGATAACTTAGATTTCTTATTTCTTAATTTTTTAAATAGTTCACAATTCCCAAAGTTCAAAGGAAAGTTAAATATTTTAGTTTTACAATTTTACTTAGAAAAGAAATCAAAATTTTCAAAAAAAAAAAAACAGTGCAACCTGGTTCGGCCCGCCCTATGGCCTGACCTAACATGACCCAAGCCCACGGCATGGCCTGCAGCCCAACCCGGCTCAGGCCCGCAGCACTGCACAACATGGCATGGGCCTAGGCCATGGGCCGAGCCGGGCCAACCCCCAAAATTTCCATCGGGGAGGGCGGCACGGCTCGTGACGGCCTATGGGACAACATGACCCGCCTTTTGCACAGGCCACCCACGGGCCATTCCGTGCTGGCCCGGCACAACCCACTTTACACCTCTAGCCTCAAAGGCATTCTAGAACCTATTTTGTCGGATATGGATATCCCCATTTTGGATCTTCGGATGAGGTCGAGTCGAATTCAAATCACCCCTCTATCTGATTTGATATATATATGTTATTTATTAATTATATAAATATAGCGCACACACACATATTTATAAATATGCTATTTATATAATTACATTGCATTTTTATGAACTTGTTATATTATTTGTTTTTTTTAAACAATAAAAAACATGTATATATGACGAAAATAGTTGAAAAGACACTTGTATTTTTTATTTAAATTGTTATATTTTATTTTTCTTTAATAATTTATTTATTCATTTAAAAAATTAAATTAGATCAGATAAGATCCAAATATCCAAATTCCTCATCGGATTCAAATTCAAATCAATGTTTATGAAATCCGATGATCTACTGTTAATAATATCATATCAAATCCGAATATACTCTAATTCAAATATTCATTTGCATCCCTTCATATTGGAAAAAGGGTGCAGAGAACTTCAAGGGCTTGCATCACCATGAGGATCTTTTCTTCTTTTTTTTTTGGGTAAACAGACCCTGAGGACCTTAATGCAACGAGTCATGACTACCATATATATATATATATATATATATATATATATATATATTCTCAGACACTTTCTAGATTAATATATGCCTCCCAGACTCTTCCTCTATATTCTCAGACACTGGATCAGTCTAGTAATTAGCTTTATCTTTGTGATATTGCTTGGGTAAGATTAGACTCTCTCTCTCTTGCTACAAACTTTAGTAGAAAAAGTATGCATTGAGAAGAGGAACCAATACATCGGAGGTGTTGGGGGGGGGGTGATTCCCATTGAAGAACACACTCAGTATCCCTATAACACGTGGCTAAATTCAAGGTTTAAAGTATTGATACGTATCATTTCGGGACCCCTCCAATACGCCCCTATAGTGGATGTATCGGAGGTCTGACCGATTCAGGGGGTAGAGAAGACCTAAATTGGCCCCCCTGAATCGGTTGCAAAAATGTTTATCGGCGTATCAGGCGTATTGATATTTTGGACCTTGGCTAAACCATGAGCTAAAACATTTGTTACTCTTGACACAGAAAAAGGAAATTATGGTGAATGGTGACACTAAGCTTAGAATATCCTGGATAACCACCTGACTCGGACAAGAGCATGAGATAACGGAGCCACAAACAACAGTGCAATTGTTTGATAAAACATATATAGTCAGATTCTGCAGATGAGATAAATCCCGCAGCGATGGCTTCACACCTCCACTTCCGTATAGAATTTCTTGTCCCTGCACAGCACAACCCACACTACTACTGATCTACCCGCTTTAACAGCAGCATCGGTGTAAATCACAACATCAGCCACACTATGCTCAACATCCAAATTGGGAAGTTGATAAACACCACCTCCAAATTACGAAGATAACATTGTTTCTGGCCTCCCAAATCTTCCATAGTACAGTGGACACCCAAACAAACATCCTCATTATTTGGGCTTGCTATCTCAGGCAAGTGTCCCTTTGGCTGTGACATGACTGAATCTGTGAAGCATCTCTTTTGGCACTGCCCAGTGTCTCGGGCCAAATGGCTAGGTTCACCCCTTGGGTTTCGCCCAGATTTAATTCAGGCTCAGTCTGTTGCAGACTGGATCCATGCATTAGTTATAACGCATCCATGATTAGACTCTTAAACAGTGAAAAAATAAGCCAGTGATTCAAAGGAGATTCACATCGTAATAACATGCTGAAAATTTACAAGTGATAATGTTTCATACAGGGCAAACTCCGTGAAATGTCAGAAGAGTTTCTTTTGCCACTAGCAATTTGCCGATTTCTGTCAATAGTAGAAATTTACCTAGACTCAATTAGCACATATTTACAAGCGCATTCAAATAGAAAAGAAGAAATGGTAGGGCAGTATTTACAAAAGAAAAACAGAAAATGCATTAGTTACTTCTTCTTGCCTTTACCCTTCTTAGTCTTCTTGGACTTGGATTTATCCTTGGATTTGTAACCACTGTCCGTGTTTCTATTATTTTGGGTTTGTGTTGCAGGACTGGTCTTGGTTTCTGTTGCGACATTCATCTGTAAAGTTCCACCAGGCATATCTGTATTACTCTGCAAGAACAAAGTATCTAATAGAGACTTCATCACTGGTTTTTTCCCCTGCAATCTCTTGAAAAGCTCCCCAGCAGTTGAAATTTTATCCACTGATTCCTGGTCACTGGAAGAAAAAAGAAGTTTCAGCACACAAGTGAACACGTTTCTAGGTCTCAGACCATAAGTATTATAGTCACTTTCCAAAAGGGGTTAGTAGTGAAGTCGTCTAGAAGATTGTAAGCAGCAAGTCCTACAGGCACCTGACACCCAACCAGAATCCACAAAACTGTGACTTAGTTAACAGTTTGTCTATCAGTGGCCAAAAAATAATGGCAAGCATTTCAACAGGACTTGCATGGTGCAAGTCAAGCAGACTCAACTCCCTGGTGGGATCTTGCAGAGTAGATTGGTGTGCCTTGTATTGTCTAACCATTTCTAAAGCACAAGTAAAAAAATGGTGGGGGGGGGGGAGAGATTGGTTGGAGAGAGTGTGCGAGAGAAGAGGAAACAGTTCGTAAGCCAGTTGTAACTCAGTAAATCATGATAGATTGTAAGTAAAGATTCATTTAACGTAAAACAGCGATTAGCCTATGAAAATAATGTTCACATGCAAACTTACAAACCAAATCCACACATTCAGACTGACCTCATCTCAAAGGCAACAAAGAATTGCTTCAATTCATCAAGCAATCCTTTTCTCACTTCAGAAAGGTTAGCATCTTCGTTAGGAAGGTTATTCTGATTCAATCTGAACATTGCGGCATCAATAATACGAATAGCATCCTTAACATCCAACTGCAAGCAAGGACAATCTTTAGAGGCATACCCACCATAGACAAAACAGATGTAATTGGGACTACTGGTACCTTAATGTCTGGTGTATTAGAAGTAAAAGTTCTTGAATTCTTGTATGGCTCATGCTCTCTTGGTAGTAAAATATCAAATGTTTCCCAGAAATGTTTGTATCTCTCAAGTAATAACTCATCATCATTTTCATTCCCACCCTTCAATTCCTGTTTTACCATTCCAGTTATGCATGAAGATGGAACATCAGCACTATTTGGAAGGTGATTTTCACTGCCACTCTTTGGAAGGTGATTTTCACTGCATCTTGTACTCCTTGATTCATCATGTTCTGAATTCTTTGAGTACAAGACTCTCATTACATCCTCTCTGCATTGAGTGACATCTGTATTTATAACAAGTGCATCTGGACGTAGATGTTTTGGAATATTCTTTTTTGAGCCCACAATTACTAGAGGATTTTCAATAGTTTTAAGTGCTCGAGAAAGTTCTACTTGAATTTGAAGGATACTGTGGTTCCGCTTCCTTGGGTTTATACGATTGAAAGGTGGAGGTAGTAGAGAACTACTCAGCAGACAGAAAAGTAAACCCCAATGGTCTTCAGAGTTTAGACAAAGTAATATCACCATAACAACCATTCTCAATACCATAGGCTGATAGTAGGTATTCACATTAATTTTAGATTTTTGAAGCCATTCTTCCATCACATATTTATTTAAAAGAAGTTCCTCCACCAGACGAGCAATAAAATTGTAACACTCCATCACATGACCCATATTAGTTTTCGAACATGTGCTCAAATTGGCATGCCATTCCTGGCAGATGAGGATTTCAACCATAGAAGATTTTGTTGTGAAGAAACTCTCTTGACAAGAAGACACCAAAAACAGAAGACGTTCAACAAGATACATGTAACAGTGAGGTGATATGTAATCAGGTTCTATACTCCAGTTGACAGTATATGTATCTTTAAGAGCTTCTCGGAGCTTCACTGCCAAAGAAAGTTGTCCAAACCTGCATACCATATTCTGTTTCAGTTCCTCGATGAATGCTTTCCATGGAGGATTCACATCAAACCGCTGCACAACCATCCCATAAAGTTCATCAGACAGTATCCCTGATACAAAGATTAGCATTACCACTCTTCCAATTTCCCCATGTGTCAACACACTCTTCAAGTTGATGTTTTCAGTAACAATATCCTTAAGTAGATCCATAGAAATACTGCTTTCCCTGAGATAAATCATCTTTTCCATCATTGCCTGCTTCCAATCCAGAGGAAATACATACTCAAAGAACTTAGTCCTAGATAATGCAAGGAACTTTCTTACATGTTTCCAATCCAGAAACTTAGACTCAGCAAGAAACTTTGTCACTTCAAACATATAAAGGACAGCCATAGCTTGACAAAATATTGGAAAGGGATTGTGAATCGAGAAATCATGGAGCTTTTCCAGACACTCTAATACTTTTAGACCAACAGAACTTATTTGTGAATGCCAGTATCTCTTAGCATGAGAGACAAATTGATTAACATCCATGCTAACTGAATTCCTATCTTTCCAGAGAGATCTTCCATCAGTTTCCTTTAGCCAAAAGGCATCCGAATGGAGCAAATTGTAGGCGTGAATACGATTGCTATCTTGTTTCCGTATACCCATATAATCCAAACAGAACTGCCCATAGGCCACATATTCATCTTCATGTTGGGTTCCAAGAGACTGGAGGAATGATAGTATGTTTACAGTCCTCTCCCTCCAAAGGTTCCAAAAATACACAAGATTATGAACAGAGACCTGATTCCTACAAATTACGACTCCTGGATTTGTCATCACATCAGAGACAACATCATGTTCCCACCCATATTTTGAAGGATGTGACTGAAGAAGAAGATCAAGAATTTTCCATGTGCAGAAAATTTCAGCTCTGAGATCCTTAAGTCTCTGGGAAGCACTGAAATGTTTCTCCAAGCATAATAAGTTACTATCTTGGTCTGATATTACTGTGGCTTCTATGCAGATACAGTTGTAGAAGAACTCTGATTTCTTCTTTGCAAAAAATTTAGCTTTATTTAAAAGATCTTCCTTCTCTATGAATTTCTTCAAAGGCCAACCCTTGCTTCCAGGTCTCCAGAGAGAGTTCCCAACAACATATAATATAATGAGTCTTGATGCATCTTCATATCGTTCAGCCTTCCCTAGAAAATCAGCTTCAAGGAGAAGATCTCCCTTTAACCTTGCAATGCTGGCAGCCTCCACAAAATTCCCTGATTCTTCCTCCAGCAATACAAGTTCATCAAGATAATTATGGGACCTCAAGAAAACACGTTTGAGATCAATAGAATGAAAGGCCCTAACAAAATTCATCATAGCCTTGGTATCATTAAGCTCGTGATAGTGAAGTGCACATTTCTCAAGGAATGTTCGTTCCATTTCAAGCAGTTCTTCAGTTATTGCAAACGTATCATCACCAGTAGTTGAATTTTCTTTCCAATATTCAATGAAATTGAGTCCCATGTTGAATAATTTTCCCCTTATACAAACAGACAAACACTTTGAGAAATACTTGCCTTTAGCATAAACTTCAGCAGCAAAATTCCAACATTCAGCCATGGAAAAACAGTCACCAGCATCCTCGAGACTTGATGCTCCACATTTCTCCCGATAAAGCATACCTATATCAGTAAAAGATATTTAGAAGCAAGAAATAAACCTCACCCAACAAAGCAATCATTTTAAAGTCACAATTCAAACCTACTTTCTGGGTAAAGCCATCATTTTAAAACAGCTAATGCCAGCAAAAAACTAGGGGTGGCAATGTTGACCCCAACCCACATGCTTACAGCAGCAGGTTAAGATGGGTCAAATGACCCATTAGGGTAGGGGAAGAGGGTCAGGGTAGGGTTGGGTCAAGGGTACCCAAGAGGGTCAAAGCAAAGGGTCAGGGTGGGTTGGGTTGAGGTTTAGTACTTTCATCAGAGGATTTGTAGTTTGTTTAGGGTTAGAAACTTCCAAACTTCGAAGGTTTATCAACCACACTGTTTCACCTTCGCCATTCTCAAACATTTAGGGATTTAAGTTTTCTCTCTAACCGTTGACCATCGTCAGTTCTCAGGTAGGTGCCCGAAGCTTGAAGCTTCACTCAATCGCTGCCTTTGTTCTCCTCTTATGCCCCCTTAGACGTCAGCACACTGCTTGGGTCAGTTAGGGATCAGTCAAGGATTGAACTTGCTAAGGGTTAGGGTTTGGTAGCTTGAAGCTTCAGTCAATCGCCACCCCCTGTTCTCCTCTTCCACCCCCTTAGACGTTGGCACACTGCTCTGAAAGTCCAACATGCTCTTCTGCTCTGACCAAGAGAAGATAGAATTTCTCTCCCAATGCCTATTTGCAGATAAGACAAGGAATTAGGGTTTGAAAGTTCGAAGCTTTACCAATCACCACTGATGCTCCCTCTGTTCTCTTCCACCTTTGTTCACCAATCACCACCAATGCTTGATCACTGCCTTTGTACCACTGACGGCCCTTGCCTCTAGTTTGCTAATTTGTCCATTCTTATTTGATTCTTTTCTGGTTTCTCTGTAATTTTCCACAATTTCCCATTCTCATTATTCAAAGATGCAGAAAACAAGTGTATATGGGTATAGAATTAAGGCCTTTTCTCCATTCTCTGTAACTAAGGCTTTTTGACAGTGGATTTTTGCTTAGTGAAATAACGCCCTCCTCCTCCCAAATTTGCATTTTAAACAATTTTTTTGCAAAAAATTAAGCATTTTTCTATATTTTTTTTCTTTGTAATTTTTACATTTTGTGCATTTCTGTACTTTTTTTTTTTACAATTTTCTATTAATTTTTGCACTTTTTGCAATTTCTGAATTTTGACTCAAATATATTTTTGAATTTTTATCATTTTATGTTTTTTTGCAATTCTACCTTTCTATGGTGTGTGTGTGTATATTAAATTTTTATTAATTTCTGTATTTTTCTGGTTTGTGCATTTTTAGATGAAATATATGTTTTTTTATAACTTTATGTGTTTTCTCGATTTTTATCATTTAATGTATTTTCTGTAATTTCTACTTTTTTTGTTATATATAATAAATCTTTATCATTATGTATTTTTTCTACAATATTTCACTTTTTTTAAAATATATAATTTTTTGAGTTTTTATCATTTTATTTACTTTTTGTAATTTCTTTTTTTGGCTGAAATATATTTAAAAAAATCTGCATTTATAGGTGAGGGTAAGTGGGTCAATATTGGTAGGGGTGGGTAATGGTCAGTATGGATGGGTAAGTGGGTCAATATGGGTGGCTGAGGGCGGGTGAGGGTCAGGGTGGGTTGTGACCCATAAACAAGGATTGGTGATAGGTCATGGTGGGTTCGTATTCAACCCATCCATTTGCCACCCCAAGAAAAAATGATACAATTTTTTCTGATGTGGAAATTGTGTTTTGTTTTATAAAGCAATACCATTCACATTGGCAAATACCCCCCCTCCCAAGTAAATGTAGAATAAATACATAGTTGATGGACCCAGCTTTGGTAGCAAGGCACACAAGACCACCAAACTCCACGGCTGCCAAATAATAGACAAGGTTCATACCAAATTGGTTCAGTTATTGAGCCAAAAACTTAAAACTGGTAGAGTCAATGAAGCAGGTGTGACAGGAAAATCATGTTAAGCATCCAGTGCAACAGATCTGATGCTAAATCAACTCCTGATTCTTTGGTAAGCCTCGTGCTGACAAGCATGAGAATGTGGGTTTGAGTCTGTGTTCACTCTGTGCTAAATGCAAAGGTTATTCAAAACTTCCATCAAAAAGACCCTTGATGAGTGTGGGCCAACATTAAATAATAGCATATTTTCTCTTAATTCTTTTTATGACAATTCATCAATTTGCATAGGTCCAGAACAATTTAAACTAAACATATTACTTTCAATTCACTGAAAGGTCCAGTATTAAAGCATTGCTAATTACCTTATGCCCAAAACTTAAAATATGTTACTCACAATTGTTAATTATCTAAAATAGGTCTATATCAAAACAAAGCTATTTGAAGCCAACCAACTTTGATAGAACAGATAGAATAGGTTTCGTTGATAAAGTGTCTTCTTTTCATCAGTAAGGTTCTGCAAATAAACTATGTATCTCAACAAATTTCATAATAAATTATGCATACCTGCTCTTTGAAATTCTTTTAGCTCAATAAAACACTTTGCAGCATATTCAGCCCTCCCAATGTTTTGAAATATCTCAGCAGCCTCCATGAGGACAATGCGTGCCATCTCAGGATTTGATCCACGCATACGGTCAGCAGCAGCACGCAGTCCAGCAGCCTTCGCCCATTTTTCCCTGTATGCATCACCAGCTCTTTCGAAGCACATTGTGGCCATCTCATAGTTACCCTCATTGAATAGCTGCCAAAATAAATTTCCAAGATATGAATTAGAATTTTTATAATGTACCCCCACCCCCACAAACTAGGCTTAGACATGCACCATAATGGGAAGAAAGTTGAAAAAGAAGCATTCTTCCATTCTGTTCGACAAGTTGGCACACAATCAAAGTAAGTGATTACTTGCATGAATAATAGTCATTCTGTCAGGACAGTATGTCAAAGGGCAAGAGGCATTATCTGGGAAAAGTTATATTCTTGATTGTTCCAACTGTGGATATCACTTTCTTGTAGTATCAGTGCTGTCAGACATGGATCAAACATAAACCGTTCTGGTTTCTGGGTCATAGATGGTCTGGACTGTCAGATTTGACTCCTCAACTTGCTCAAATAAAAATTTGAAAAATAAATAGTTCAAAATTATTTCTTTAAATAATTTATATCACAATAAGTCTAAAAAATATATATTATATGTAAAGACACCCACTAATGCATGTATTTGGGTTAACTTTGACAAAGTCAACATTTCTATGAACTAGGCATCTCAAAAACAGTTTTGGCTGTCAGTTCCTTGTCCGAATGGTCTGAGCATTTGATAGGACTTTGAGTTCCACAACAGTGCATAGAATTGACAAAATTATACCAACACTATGAAGAAACAATAAATAAAAAGGAGAGGATGAACATAAAATTTCTCACCTTAATACCACGTAAGCTCCATTCCTCTTTGCTGCTTGCCACTTGCATCGCCTGTGCAAGGGATTCATCAAGTTGTCTAACTTGTACAAGACACATCTTCTTCCAATAATCGAATATAGGCTTGGAAAACTCCTCTATGTTTTCACAAATCCACAGCCTTTGTCTTGTACGTGTTATAGCCACATATAATTGCTTCAGTTCAGAGCAAAGGATGTTATGTTTGGTCGTGTCAAAATTTGGAAATGATATCGGTCCAGTAGAATCAAGCATGTCTTGTTCTTTCATATATTTATAAATTACTCTCCATTGATTTTTTAAAGGAGACGTGCCAAAAAAGTTATATAGCAAAACATCCTACAAAATCAAAAGGGTAAAAGTAAATGATTACCAAAATTAGAAAAAATCAGGAAATAATATTATCTCATATGATAAACCATGAAGCTATCAGCTGTTCAATGTGAACATAGCATATCAATATTGCATAAACAAGGGGCCATGTCTTGTAATTTTCCCCTGCATCAATGTCAAAACAGTTTAAGAAAATACCGACACCAATGCAGCCCCATTACAAATAAATTTGACGGCCTGAATTGTCCAAATCAACTTAAAAATCAAATAATTAGAATGATCTGATTACATCATCTTAGAACAATGGTCTATAGTAAATTAGTAATACATCATACAAAATCAGAAGGGTAAAAGTGAATTATTACCAAAATTAGAAAGAATCAGAATTTTTTTTGATAAATAAACTCATACAGCAAATCATAAAGCTGTAAGCTGTTCAATAAGCATTTGGCACATCAATATTGCATAAACAAGGAGGTCATATCTTGAAATGTTATGTAACCTCCATGTAAATCCAATTTAAGAATATAATGACCCCAATGCAGACCAATAGCAAATAAATTTGATGTTTTTAATTGTCCAAATCAACATAAAGATCAAATAATTAGAATGATCTGATTACTTCATCTTAGGACACTGGTCCATAGCAACGAAAATGCAATCACGTACAATAACTTAGGCACTATGCAAGCTTTCCATTTAAAAATGTAATGGTCAAAGAGATTAATACTTTTGTGGGAACGAGCAATTACACAAACTAACCTGAAATTCAAGACCTTTGCATTCAATTATTGTTAAAACAAGAGCTTGCTTTCCAACATGTTCAGAAACCTCCCTTCTAGCATGATCATCACGAACCAGAATTACCTGTTCTGCACCAAATCCAATCATACTGCTGCCAGTTGTTCCACTATTACCAAAAATTGTTATAATTGCATTCTCATCATTCCCAGATTCAAGCAAAACTGGGGCTTCTCCATATATAAGACTCATCTCTGGGGTTAAAATGTCTATATACAGTGGGAAGAAACAGTACAGTAGGTCAATTACACTCTGTGCCAAATTTAGGACACCGGCATGAGTACGGAAGTTCTGGTTCAAATGAAAAATGTCGGAGATGCACTTTTGGCCCTTGTCTTTTGAACTGTCCTTGCTGTCACTTACAGATTCCAAGATGAACTCTTTATAGAACAAAGAACGTATATCTTGAAATCTGAAATCAATCCCCCTGGCAATAGTTTGTGCCGTATCTCCTGAAAAAACAAAGCCTTCACTAAAATTTTTGCATATAAATTTCAGAAAAGCAATCTGCCTCATAGTGAGATCCTGGACCTCGTCAACGTACACAAAGTCCATTTCCTCACCCTTGTAGCCACCATCTTTCAGGCGGTGATGAAGATCAATAACAAAATCTGCCAAGTCAAATTCACCATTCACTAGTTTCTTCTTCTCATACTCAAGAAAAATATCATAAATCATTTCTCGTCTTTCCCTGTTTAAGGTTGATACCCGACATTCAGATAGATTAACATAGTCCTCCCTGTCGAGTTTACCATTAGAAGCCTTGCCTGCTCCCAACCCACCTTTTATATGTGAAATTATCTCTCTAAACACTAATGAAGAATCAAGCTTCTTAGTTAGTTGACTATTAAAATGGGGCCAATAACCCAAATTGAACCTGTCATAATTAACCTCCTTTGTTCTTATAAAGGTTTGTAATGCTATTGATCTTGAAGGTCCAGAATTACCAAGAGAAAGCTCCCTCAGATCATGAAATCTATCAAAGTATGAAATTTCCATGCTACCATCTAGCATTAACAATAATTTCTGGAAGGTTATAACAAGAGGGTAGGATGTAGGTGGAATATCAATGAAAGAATCAGGGATATCATTGAACTCAGTTGTGCAATCAATATCAAGCATATCAATAGAAGTATGCTCCGAAACATTTCCTCCACAGATGAAGCTGTGCAAGTAATCATTTTTTTATTAGTCAAGACATCTAAATCGGACAAAGCTTTTCATATACTAAAATGTGACATATAGAAATGCATAAATTATATGTATGTTGTGAAAAGAACAATTCCTTTTACACCCACAATACAACTACTGAAAATTAAATGGATTTCTAAAATTGTAGGTCAATCTTTTTTCCTCCGTAGTGATTGTTCCAAGCCTATCTTCATCATCAATTGTATCAGCTTGTTTGACACTCAACTTCAAGCTCCCTTTTGTTGCAGTACAATGAATAATTGCCTTGTTCTTTTTACACCAATAATATACAATTACTGAAAATTAAATGGATTTCAGAAATCTTAGTTGGATTTTTCCCTATATAGTGATTGTACTAAGCCTATCTCCTAGCTACAATAGTACAAGTTATTTGACATTCAATTTCAATTTTCAACCTCCACCTTATTGCAGTGCCATTAATATTTGTTATATAGCAAAGGTAATATAATGGATAATTTTCAGTATAAATTTAAAGTTTAACTAATTAAAATTATCACCCCAGGAGTAGCAAACAAAAACAAGAACCTGTTTTCAGACAAATTGTGTTGTTAGATTATGTGTATTGGGTCTACTTGTTTACTATATACTGAAACTCAATGGATCATCATGTATCTAACTTTTAGTTTGAGGGCATATTTTCTCTTTTTTTCTTTTTTTTTTATTGGTAAGCACTTTTCCTCCTATTTTAACTAGAAACAGAACTTTCCAGAACAAAATCATCCATACAACCTCATAGTGGTCTTCTTACAATTAGCATTATTATTGTATACTAGACTGTATCTGGTGGGACACTGCCAACCGCAGAGGTCTCTTTGAGGGAGACCTACTCTCCTGAAACAATAGAAAGATAGGGAAGGGAAAAAATGGAGGAAATCAGGTCTCTCAACAATTCTTATTACATGGGTATCTATAGCATTACAAGAGAATCATGTGTCTCGTGCATGGTGTCATTGTTCATTGTTAACATGTCTTCCTTGTACAGATATAATGAACTGGTGAGTGTGGGCTTCATAGGCTTGAGTGCACAAGCCTGGGCTTCAAGCTGAGACTGGGTGAATTGAGACTCGGACTGTAGTTGGTACCCGGGCCTGAGTCTTATCAATTCGCTCCCCATCAAGAACCTTGTCCTCATGGTTGATACTTGATAGTAGGAAATAGCTTCTCATCTTCACAAAGGTTTCTTTGTTGAATTTCTTCCCTGTCTTGTCCTCTGGTAGTCTTGGGCTAGCTGAAACATTGGGCCCAACACTCCATTTCAACATGGATACATGGTGAAGATGGAAAGGAGGAAGATCTGGTCTATAGGCTACCTCTCCCACATGTCCAGAGATAGGCAATGCTATCAGAGCACTAGGGCTCAGCTGCCACTGTTCATGCCACTTTTTGTGCCCTAGGAATAGAAACTCACTCTGTTCACTAGAAGGGAAAGGACCTAAAAGGAGTGGTTTTCCATTAGAAAAGGAGGCTTTAAAGCCTGTAGTTGTGGCTGTTATGGTGTTTTGGGTGTTCTTCTAAAGTTCCCTCTTGCTACAGCCCAAAAGAGGGACGGTTATGGTGTGTGTGGCTAGTACAGCAGGTTAGTGATAATGTGTGGAGTTCGAACCCTAGTGTAAATGTATGAAGTGGTTGGTCTCTCTAAGTCAGAGTTGTGTGGTTTCTAGTTGTGGCATCTGGCTTCTCTTTCGGTGGTGGAAACTAGTGTAACAAGTTGATTTCTTGTTGTGGGTGACTATAGTGTACTTGTTCAACCTTTTGTGATCTATGGGTTCTTCCACTAGTAGCACTAAATCAGCTGTATAGTGCAATCAGATTTAATGAATACCCCATTGACCATGGTTAAGCTTAATGGCATGAACTATGAACCATGGGCCAAGCCTATGGAAGTTTGTTTAATTGGAAGAGGCAAGCTGAAATATATTAGGGATGACCAACAAAAGAATGGGTCTAAAGGGTACAATGAATGGGTGCAAGAAAATGCACAGATTATGAATTTGTTGTGAAATAGTATGGAGAATCATACAAGTGTTAATTTTATGTTTTTAGACATGACAAAGGAGATCTGGGAGAATGCCAGGCAACCATACTCTAGACAAGATAATTTCACAAGGATATACAAGTTATACCAAGACTATTTTACCCTTCAATAGGGAGACAAGAGTGTGGAGGAATATTATGCTGCCCTAAAAAGCTTGAGGAATAAGTTGAATGTTTATCATCTCCTCTCTAACAGATTTGAAGGTGCAACAAGAACAGAGGGAGTGTTTGGATGTTACTAGATTTCTATCCGGCTTGAGATCTGAATTTGAGCTAGTAAGAGCTCAAATGCTGGGAAGTAGTGATCTCCCTATTCTATTGCATCAGAAGAGTTTGCACTCCACATGGTGAGCACACTATCCTTACAGAGAAATTAGCCTTAACTGTTGCTAGAGGTGGTGGTGGTGGTTGAAGAGGTGTGGCTAGAGGTAATGCTTGGGCTTTTAGAGGGGGTCATGGTGGTGGTAGGGAAGGAAGAGGTAGTGGCAGAAGTGGTAGTGGATGTGGTCAAATCCAGAAGTGCCCTCATTGTGGTCATGAAGGTCATACAGTTAATCTTTGCTATGATTTGCATAGTCCACCCTCTTCTTGGGCCAAATCAAGCCTTGGTGGAAGATGAAACTTCGAACAATGTCTCTACTGAGGAACCACCTATTATCAGAGTTGGCAATGAAAAGTCTGCTGGTCGTCCATTCCTTTGGCAATTCTCTGGCCGTGTTTCTGGAAAGGAACAGTATGATTTTTTATCACAAATCCTCTCTGAAGCCAAGGTCATCAACATGGCTATAGAGTTTGTTAGAAGTTGGTTGTCTATACATACAGATTTTAAAGAAGATACATCTGATTTAACTTTTTTGAGGCCCTTCTAGTTTGTGTACAGTTTCTCATTGTACAAAGAGCCTTTTGATTAATACAAATATACTTTACCTTTGCTCAAAAAAGAAAAATTAATATCTAAGGTACAATGACAAAATTAACCCTCACAAGCCTATAGCCCTCTACAACTAGTTGGTGCTGCAATCGTTGAAAAAAAAAGCGGTGTTGCATTTGGCATCAGAGGAGTGGAACAACCAGTTGAATATATTCACATTGAAATAGAGTTAAATAATTCTGCCAGAAAATAATGCAATACTAAAGCACCTCTTATGTGCTGCACACCCATAGTTTTCTTAACAATCTAGACATATATTCCAAAATAATTTTGACAGAGGAGAACCTCACAATGTTCTATAAACAACAAAAATGCTGAAATAAGCAGGAACTGAGGAAGGAAATACATAATTGATTAATTAATGCAATCACATACCTTTTCAATTGAGAAATCTGCTTCTTCACAGCCAAACATAACTTAGGGCTCACAGTAACAAAAATCTGGCGCAAAAAAGTCTGACTACTCTCTCCAACACCCTCTGCAAACTTGTTCTTCTTTCTATTAGAGATGGATATGTCACCCTGAACACCAGAAAATCCTTCTTTGGAAAGAAAATACTGTTGTTCATTTCGAATCAATTTCATAGTCAAAACTGTCGTCTTCCCAGTTCCTGATCTTCCAAGGATAAAGGTGCTTCTAGGGTAAGTAACTATTTCCAGTTCCTGGTCTGTTACTTCAAATGGAAGATCAAGCTCTCTACCATCACGACCAGAAAGTAAATGTTGAACAATACCAGAAGACAATGAGTAGAATTTCATTAGGAGTAGAGACTCAGTGACCCTGGAGTTCTCAACATAGGTTCTTCCATCAAATGCATCATCAGCCAGTTCCTTCACTGACTCATTTTTCCGGATATTCTTATACCGAACAATATGAGTATAGGTGTCCCAACTCTTTGGCACTTCCAGATCCCTACATGCACAATAAATTGATAAATAAAAACAACAGATATAAATGAACCACTGGATTCATTTCCATTATTTCAGGATATTTGCTTCACTCACTTTTTCAGTAGCAGAAAGGTTAGGGAAAGATCCAAAAATTATCATAAACTATGATACCCAGATACCTGTACAATGGTGTCATATTGTGCTGGATACTTCAAGTTTTAATGGAAATACCATACCAATACCTTATCCAGCCAAGTCCCTGCCATATCTGAGTAAAATAGATTGTAACATAAAGTAAAGCAACAAAGCAGCTGAAGAAGGAAAACACAAAACAAGTAATGAAAAGCAACAACATAGTTTCATGGCCATTCGAGCTTGGCTCACAGAAATGGTGTTAGACTCGACCTCAAATTCAATTCGAGCTAGAGACTTGAGCTTGAGGTCAGCTCGGTTCAAAAGCTTACAAATTCAAGCTTGGCTCGACTTGAGCTCAGCTGCAAACCAAGCTTTTTCTAAAAAATAAAAATTATACATATAAAAATAATTTTTATTTTACATACAAAAAATTAAGAATTATAAAAATTGTTTACTATTATACAAAAAATAAAAATCTTATATAATATATATTATTATATATATTGTTGAGTGGGCCGACTTGTGTTTAGTTTATTTCCTTTTAAATTAAGATGTTGTTGGGCCTTGGGCCCATTAGTCTTTATTTTTTAAAGAGTTGTAATTACTTAGGTTGAGTTGCCGCCCTACTTAGGGCATCTTTGTAATATCTCATACTTAAGTTAATTATAAATAGAATGAGGGGCTRGCGGCTAGTGGGAAGAAAATCGATCCTAGTCGACCTTCTTCTCTTTTCTTCCTTTTCCTTTGTCTCTTGCTGAAATCCCCAACTTTCTACTCTTCCTTTCACAAGAAACTTGGCCGAAATCAGCACATAAGGTTTTCTACTTATATATATATATGTATACACTTATATGTAAGTATGTTATGTATGTATATATAATAAAAATTATTTATTTATTACACTAGGCTCGATTAGGCTCATGAGCCGAGCTTCATTGGGACTAGGATTTTGTTCAAATACTATAAAGGCCTTGTTCATTTTACTTATCTAGGCAAGTGTTTCCCAAGTAAAGCTTACTCGAGTAAGCATGCTTCCTGTTCTTTTATTATATGAATTTACCCAGGTAAGGAGGGAAAGAGAGAGAGAGAGAGAGAGAGAGAGAGAGAGAGAGAGTGCTTACTGAATTTCCTCTCCAGACGGGTAAGTTGCTTATCCAAGTAGGTGGACAGTAATAGTTACCTGAGTAAATGATACAGCCAGGAATATTTCTTTATCAATGGATGGAACCCACTAATACCAATTGATGAATGTGGGTAAGTTAGTCAACTCTCCCACTGACCAAATTACTTGCCCCCATTTACCAAAAAACGAACAAGGCCGAAGTATTAACTCCCCCTAGGTTTTGCATGTTAACTTATTATACCCTCATAGTTTGGGGTTAAGTTACTTGTTTCACCCTTCAATTGACATGCTATTGGCTTTAGTGACAGAAAGTGCTCAAGTGACATTTAGAACTGTTTAAAAGTTCACTTTAGCATTTATGGTACCTTCTTGTATATCATATGGAAAAAATCCTCATTATTCTTCTTAAATGGCCAAATTTTTTTATTCCATAATGTTAAGAAGGGAATGAAAAGTTAAGAACAGATTCAAAAAAGAATAGAATAAAATATAAATTTAACACAGTAAAGTTAACGTTTTATTGTTGAAAGGCATTTCGGTAAGATATATGTTCTATCTTAATTCTGTCTCTTATGTTAACAAACCCCCTGTAATTTTGTTGTCAAAGGAGGTATTAGTTAGTAAGGGTATAACTGAAGGGTGATAAAAGTTTAACCAAAAACTCCATGGGAGGAATAAGCAATTTAACCTATATAATAAAACTGCAGAGTACTTGCAAATGTACAAACATAAGAGAGCTCTAGAGGGCAGACGATACCTGAACGTATCTTATTTTTCACATTGAACTACTCTACTTTACTTTCCTCCATTTCTATTTACATCTGTTTCTTGCTTCCTTTTTTCTTGAAGAATACTTGCTTCCTTTTAATTTGTTTGAAGATCAAATAATTTCAAGTCTTGCCAATGCCACAGAGGAGATAACTCATCATAGTTGAAACTTATCTTTAAACTCAATCCTCTACTATTGTCAAGACTTCTTTTGCTCACTTAATATGCCTTTACAAACCATGTTTTCATATACATGTTTCCTCAGTCCTAGGCCATTGACTTAGTGGTCTCTAATCATATGACTAATTATGTCCTCAATTATACTCCAGTAGGGATACAGTTAGAATTGCAAATGGATCGCTATTCATAATTTTTTTGAAGGGGAAATATCCAATATGCCACTACCATGCTTCTTTATGTTTTACACGTTCCTCAACAGTCAAATCATGTGTTATCTTGAAGTAGCTTTACTAGGATTCTGAAACACAAAATAACATGTTTCCTAATTATTATGTTTTCCAGGATCTAGCTGAAGGGATAACAAATGGTCATGGGAAAAAATTAATAGCCTATACTTGTTGGACTATTCTTCTATTCCACTTTCTTCTTCAAGTGATCTTATTAGTTAGTATTGACAGATTGGCTATTCCATTCATTCTTCTTGGGCTTTTATTTCTTTTACTTGTTATGTTTATGGGTTGCGGGCCTTCCATGGGCCTTTACTTTTTCTCTTCTTTTGCTGCCACTAATTAGGGGCAGATGTGTAATTTTATAATTTACTTGGGCCAATTAATACGAAAGTCGGGTGTTCTCTCTAACCCACTCAATTGATTGTTCTCTCTCACTCTCTTCTCCTAGCCCTATTCTCCTACCTCTTTTCTCCTCTATTATCCCTGTCTTTTCTACATATTTTTTGATTTTTTTGTTGATTATATGCTGCTGAAATCACAATGGACACGAGTAATTGAGAGGGCTGATCTTTGCTGCCTAGAAGTACTTAAGGTTCAAAGTTCGATTTTCATCACTGATACAGTAAATAATTAGAGTTAAGGCATTTTAATGGTATTAAATATTAATATCTGTGCTATGATATTTATTGATGAAGTATCAGAATGACAGGGTAAACGAATTTTGAGTATTGACCTGTTGAAACGCTTGATACTCAAAATCAAGTGTATCAATACTTTGTACCTTGGAAGTACAATTTGAAGTTTATTACCCAAAATCAAGAATAAATCAGAGATTATTGGACCTAAATTTGCAGAGGACTTGTTAGACCTTTCTGAAATGGTGCTTGGAATTTATTTTACATATCTTTCAGTATTATTGACCCTGTGTTGCCTCCACCTGAAACAGCCCCGCCCCAAGTTAAAAGGATGCAATTTCCGAACCCACCCCAACCCTATAGGGTCAAACCCGATACCAACCTAAGTACCTGACCCAACCAGTATAATTATTCTTTCCAATAAAAAACAGTTAAAGACAAAACAAAAAAAGTTCCGGAAAAATGTATTCGAAGTTAAAGAACATCCATTGAACCAAGGTTTTAAATGTTGGTGAAGAAGAAAAATACAAACAAGACAAGAAAAATATAGATGGAAGAAAGACACAAGCAAATATGAGAAATACAAGCAGGAAAAAATAGTTGTTTGGATTTGGACTTCATGTTTATTAAAAAAGCACCCAAAAAATACAAACAAGAAACTTTCATCTGTAACAGAATCTAGTAAATCCTTTCCTGTCATTTTTAAGCAGGAACCCTAAGTTTTATAAAAGCATAAATAAACAATAAGCAACAAATAATTCATTCCTTAAGTATACAAAGGCTTACCATTGAGATGCTTTGCAGTCTGTTTATTTCATTGTCCCTTCTCCAATCTATTCTATTTGAAAAAATGAATTTAAAAAGGAAGTGAAATCACAACAAAATCCTAGGTCATGGTGTCGGTAAAGTAAGAAAGATAGGATTTGATTGATTAAGAGATTTGAATAAATTTAGGAAGGATTAGATTTGAATAATTTTAGGAAAGTCATATCCTAGGATTAAGGGAAAGATTTAGWMAATCCCTGATTGCGAGAGATTCTAGGGGT